CTTGACAAGGAACACTGACCAAATGACCATAGAGATAGATCAGTGTTTCTTTGTAGAAGACACTGCCCCTTCTCAAAAGAAAACATAGATCTACATCCTAAGCATTGATGCTAATACTCCAACAAGTGATACCTTTATTGGAACAACCAAAATTCATAATATATATGTTGCAAGCTTTTCAAGAAGCCCATGGAGATTGCAACATGTGTGTATTTATTTATTTATTTATTTATTTATTTATTTATTTATTTATTTATCTATTGGCTTGTAGGCACATAACAACCCGTGTTGGTCTGGAAAATCAGTCTGCAAAAGGATCAGTCGGCCTCAGAGGGAGAGAGGCAGGCTAGCTCCATTGGGCCTAGCCTAGATTAAGGAGGAGAGTCTTCCCTCCAGTCCATCTGCCATGGTCCAGGCCTCAGAGGGAGAGAAGAACTGCTGGACCTGATCCCTTTCCCACTACCATTCCCTTCTCCTTTCGTTTCTTGTCTTTTTAGATTGTAAACCTGAGGGCAGGGAACCATCTATTTAACCATTTGTACGTTGCTCTGAAAGCCTTTGTAGGTGAAGGGCAGGGTATAAATACTCCAAATAAATAAATAATAAATAAATCTGACCATCTCTATCAGAGATCTATTCTTTCTCCAATCCCATTCTGTTCATGAACATAACAAATGCAATGTCTGTGTTCAATTCTCAAGTATGTCTGTACTTCATATGAAAAATATTTGCCACCATTATCCATTTGTATAGTCTCAGGTCATTTTCCAAATCTGGTACTAACCATGACTACATATTGCTTCAGTAGCCCACTGACCTGACTCTTTTCTTTTCATAAGTATGTCACACAGTACCTGGAATAATCATCTATAAAGGTACTAGAAAATAATTATTTCCAGCTCTAGATACAGTTTGGATTGGTCCACATAAGTTTGAATGAACTATCTGTAGAATTCTTAAAGTTTTATGCTCATGAACTTTGGGGATGGAAGGTCTAGTACCTTTGGCCTTATACAATGGACACATTTTGAGGTACCAAATTCACATTCTTGTAATTCCAGACCTCTAGTCAAATAATTTATCTTCAAATTTCTTATCCCATCCATGTTAAAATGACCTAACCTTCTGTGCCATAAGTGACAGCAGTTTATATTTGCATTTACACAGAATCTCAACATATTGACTTACTCTCTGGTACAGTCCAGTACATAAACATCATTTTTCTTATGGCCTTTGCAGACTGCTAGAAATAATCCAGCTTGTGCCACTTTAACAGTCCTGGCTCAGTGCTAGGGAATCATAGGAACTGTATTTTTTTTCTGGGACATTGAGCCTTCTCTGTCAGAGAGCTCTGGTGACACAATAAACTACAGTTCCCATGATTCCCTAGCACTGAGCCAGGGCAGTTAAAGTGGTCTCAAGTTGCATTATTTCTGGCAGTCTGCAAAGGCCCTTAAATGCTGTAACACACAGTTCTCCATCACAAGTTATTGTATATAAATTGCCACTGAAATGTCCATTATATCCTTTGTCTGTTATGACTGACACACTGAGGTTGGCTTGACTTAACTCTGGTACAAATAAAATATTCTTAGCTGTGATTAAATTTGTGCCATTGTCTGTATTGCATCTTAACAAACAATCTCTTTCAGACACAGCTTGCAGAAATGAATCACTTGCGATTTTCACAACCTCTTTATGATCAACTGGACTCAAGTTACTCAACAAATTTGAATTTCCAGCCATGTGTATACTTACTCCAGAATCTATAAGAATAACACATCGTTATTTGGTTTGTGTACCATCGCTAGTGAAGCCATATGATTTTTAACATGCTTGAAATCATTTGCTCTCTGTTCTTGCTTTCACTAGTTTGTAAACTGCCAAGGGTGAGAGGTACCATTGGCTGGCATTTGTGATGTCATCTCTGTCCCTTTGAAAATGCCCTCTTTGACCATACAAAAAACAATAAAGATCTCCCTTTCTTGGTAATGAGCCTTTTGGTGCTTCAAATACAAGTCAGCTTTGGCTTTGTTGAATTTGACAGTGAAATTTGATCCAAAGTGCTTTGGCTGAGAGAAGTTGCTCTCTCCCTTTCTTTGTAAACTTTGAATCTGCTCTGCTTCTGACTTAAATCTACACAATACATCATCAAACATCAGATTTTCTTGCATTGATTGCTGCAAGGTTCCAACTCCAGTTATAAATGTAGAGTATTTTTGTGGCAAAGATCCCAATAGCATTAGCACTGCAATTTTCTGTTGATTATCTAAATGTCCAGTAGCTAAATAAAGTTTATATAGGAGTGTTTTCATGGTTTGAATATGCTTCAAATAATTCCCACCACTGGGAAACTGCAATGCAAACAGATCTTTGTAGTAGATGTTTAATATCTGGGCCCATAACCTGACAGAATTATGGTTTGGTTATTTGTGGTTAAATCAGTTTAGCAGCAGCAGCCACAGTAGTAACAGCAGCAGCAGCAGCAACAACAACAAGTGTGTACTCCAAAGTTATTTGGTAAAAAAAACTAGATCTGAGCTTCTGATAAATAAGCAGGATACATAAGTAGGAAAAAAGAAACTTACTTTATTGTTACATCTAGGTTCTACAAAAATAACTAATCAGTAGAGAAAACTATACTTTGGTACAATGGTCCCTAGATAGTTGACCTCCATGTGTGCAAGTAAGAAGAAAAACATCTTGAGGAACACAGCATGGTTTCTGCACCCATGCTTGTTAACACCAGAGATGAAAAGTGTGCTAGCAAACAAAGAATCATAAAACTTTATTACCTTCAGGAAAAAGAGGGGTATGGGAAGTGAGCTCTTGACAAGGAACACTGACCAAATGACCATAGAGATAGATCAGTGTTTTTGTGTAGAAGACACTGCCCCTTCTCAAAAGAAAACATAGACATACACCCTAAGCCAGGGGTCCAACTTTTTGTTGCCAGGTGCTGGGAGGGGGAGAAATGGGTCCGGGGGTTGTCATGTGTGAGCGTGCGCATGCTTGCCCCCATGTGCACACATGTGCATGGCCCCCACCATTATGTGCATGCATGCATGCATGGGGGCACCATTTTGGAATGCCCAACGGTGTAGGTGCCGTGCGAATTCACACGGCACCAGCACCATTGGGCGTTCCCAAATGGTGCATCGCGTCATGCGTGCATGTGTTGGGCATTCTAAAATTGTGCCTGCGATCATGCGTATGCATGCGCAAGGTGTGGCGGCAACAGCAGGACCGGCCATGGGCTGGTCCCAAAGCCTCCATGGGCTACACTCAGCCTGCGGGCCACAGGTTGCTGACCCCTGCCCTAAGCATTGATGCTAATACTCCAATAAGTGATACCTTTATTGGAACAACCAAAATTCATAATATATATGTCACAAACTTTTGAAGAAGCCCATGGAGACTGCAACATGTGTGTATTTATTTATTTATGCATTTGGTTGGTCCAATAAAGTATCCCTGTTTTGTGGATTTTGGATGTTAGTATAAATATCAGTGACTAAATTTGCAAACATAAATACAAATGGCAACCTCACTCCTTGGAAGGTTCCATACTATCCCACCAGACCTCCCTGATTCCTAGATTCTTGGATAGAATGCAAATCATGGTTGGTTCAGAACTCCAGACAGCAACACCTGGTATTTTATTTATTTATTTTATATTCTGCTTTTCTCCCATAGTAGTAGGCTGCGAGCCCAAGTTAATAATAGTAATAGTGATGTTACCTTGTTGTTGCCTGCCTCCAAGTCGTTTCTGACTTTTGGCTACCCTAAGGTGGGATTTTCTTGACAGGATTTGTTCAGAGAAGGTTTGCCTTTGCCTTCCTCTGAGTCGGAGTGTGTGTGACCTGCCCCAGGCCACCCACTGGGTTGTCATGGTCAAGCAAGGATTTGAAATCTGTTTTACAGAGCTGTAGTCTGCTGGCTCTCCTAATAATGATTATAATCTTTCTTAGGCTATGGCCTATACTTGGTACCTGTTGCCTGAAAGGAACCTGGATTGTTGTCAAATCTCCAACACCATCCACAGGGAAAGGCCAGAGGTAGCAATAAAAATTTCCTTGAACCCTGTATCGATCTGTTTGGTTTTTATGCCTTTAGGGAGAAGCTCAAAGTTGCATTAGGGCAGAGGAAAGGAGGACAGAAACAGAAGAAAACAGGAATGAAGAGCCCCTTCTGACATTTTTGCTTCTTGCAACCTGGAGGAAATGAATCTGGGGAGAGGGCACAGTGGGCAGGGAAAGAAGATGTCAGCTTTCACCCAGGTGGTCTCTACTTTTTTTTGGTCATGCGGTTAATTTATTGCCTCATTTTCCCATCTTTAGAAAGGCTGGGCCCTCACCAAAATCAAGGAGACAAGAAAACGGGGTCTTTTAAAGACTTCAGGACAGCACTGTGTATGTGTGTGTGTGTGTGTATATATACACATGTTCAAGAGATGCAATGAAACATTTGGACCATAACACTGAAATACTATATTTACTATTGTTGTTGATGATGATGTTAGCCATCTTGAACTAAAAGCTGGAAAAGAATGGTTTAATAAATAAAGAAAAACCTAAACATTGGGAGTGTTACTAGACTCCCCTCCTTAAAATGTGCACTTCTCTTCTTATTCCATTTCTCTCCCCTTTCCTCCTGATTACCCCCTTTTCCCATTTCTTCACCTACTTCTCATCTGCTGTTACGGAGGACACCTCATTCCAACTTTCCTCATTTGTCTGCCTGTGCTCAAGAACAGGCCTATCTTTTTCTGACCTCTCAGCTTCTGTTTTCTCCAACTTCCCCACCTCTTCCAGACAGCAGTCTTTCTCACCCT